ATTATCTGTAAGCTATCATCATCAAAATTTCAAGAAATAAAGCCTTGAAATATTTCACTCTGTGTAATGAATCTATATAATATATGGGTTTCACTTTCTGAAATGAGTGACAAAAAATATTGACCTTTTTCATGATATTCTAATTTTTTGAGATGTACCTGCATGTAGTATAATTACCCAATGATATAACTGTGAAAGAAAATATTGAAATATATATTTTCTTCCCATATCGTATTTATTCCCTTTAGGGGTTTTCGTATACACGTCATTTTCTTTCCGAACACAGTATTGGGATGCGGCGGATTGTGGGGGGGTATGAGGGGGGGTATCACGATGCTGGCTCAACATCATGATGTCTATCAGCCATCGGTCTATCGGCCCAACCCTAGTGCATTCCAATGCTCATTTTTCAGGTATGTTTGCACTGTTACCTGATGTGCATATTTCGTTTAGGGTGCATAAAAATGAATGTCACTTTCAGTTGTGCAGTTCATTCTTAATGAATTCCCTCTTTCCTTACCTCTAAGTTCATTTCTTACCTTGCAGGGCTTCCAGACCGGGTTGCATCGATAACTCGCTCGCCGTAGATGCGGAACATGTACGCTGGGCGGTTCTGTTGGAGAAAACCACACAGATTTAGACAAACGCATTTCAACAGCAAGTCAAGCTAACATTATTCCCAGCGTTGTTCCCTCAGTGGCTGAGCGAGCTTTACCTTAGCCTTGTACAGCAGCTCTTTCCTCATGGCCACCTCAGCGCGCAGAATATCCCCCATGTATTCAATCACCATGGTCTGCTTCTCAATGTCACGCGCTGCAAACAGCCCAAGACCCTGCAGACACAAGACACATTAGACATGCACCACACCCAAGGCTAGCGCTCGCTCGCTCGCTCGCTCACACACACACACACACACACACAGATGTACATTGCATTCTACATGGCTTCAATTAATAGACACAGGTTTGTACAGCTGACAGAATGAGACATCAGGTATGTCTCAGTGATTTAGCTGTTTTTATGCCTGTGTGGTTTTAAAAAGCACGGCAGGGAACTGGAAGTGACACTTGATCAGCTGTGGCTCTTTTAGATGACCACACAACCGTGCCAGAGGGAGGAATGCCAATAACACAGGCTTAAAAGAGAAATTTTTTTTCATTAAGATGCTCTTAGACGAATGACAGAAACTGTAGTCATTCGAGGCACACAGAGTATTTCAAGGCCTATCTGAATCCCTTCAAACATTTCCTTTTCAGTCAGTCTGATTGAACATGGCCATTTAAGTCAGCTTTTGCCAATATGCATCAGACCGGTGAGATGATCAAACATGTTGCTCTTCACGAAGCGGCTTGTGTGCATGGACTCACCTGGATGCGAGAGTGTGCCAGATACACGTTTGTCTTCCAGTCGCTGGTCAGCCTTCGGTACTGAGATGACTTGGAGTGCACAAAGTGTTTGCTGTGAGATGATCCCCTCACCACCTCCGTTGAGTTCTGGATGCAGTGAGATGTTCTGGACCACGCGGAGAGGATCTTCAGCCTGTGAGGAGACAATGACAGAAACAGAGAAAGAAAACATTATTTCTGTTCCTCATTTCAATAGGAAAAAGCAGCAAATTTGCATGTCCACCCCTAAAATATGACTGATATCTGCACGAGGGAATTTTTCACCCGTGCCCTTTTTTGCCCTCAAGTTCCTCACACAGATTGTGCTCATATTCACTCAAATTTGCCTATGCTATTTACAATGACAATGGACCTGTTTTTCTGGGTTTCTGCACGTTTTATGAAGGTAAATTTAAGACCAATTTTAAGACCAATTTAAGTAATAAATTGAAGGGAACAATACATCAATATGTTCTCTAAATGTAAATGTCTAGAGTTCATCTACATGAACTATCATCATCTACATAATACATCTAGATGTATTAGCAACAGTTTGAAAACACAACTTCAAACCATTCCTCAATTCATATTTGAATCAATTTTACAAGCAAAAATAGGAATACGGAAATAACTTTTACTCTGTCTGTCTTCTGGTCACAGTCCAAAAACATGATGTTCTTCCTCTGTATTGTTGTCTTGTTTTCAAGTGCAAATGTGACCCCGGACCACAAAACCAGTCATAGGGGTCAATTTCTCAAAATTGAGATTTATACATCATCTGAAAGCTGAATAAATAAGCTTTCCATTGATGTATGGTTTGTTAGGATAGGACAATATTTGGCCGAGACACAACTATTTGAAAATCTGGAATCTGAGGGTGCAAAAAAAAATCTAAATACTAAGAAAATCTTTTAAAGTTGTCCAAATGAAGTTCTTAGCAATGCATATTACTAATCATAAATTAAGTTTTAATATATTTATGGTAGGAAATTTACAACATATCTTCATGGAACATGATCTTTACGTAATATCCTAATGATTTTTGGCATAAAAAAAAATTGATCATTTTGACCCATACAATGTGTTTTTGGCTATTGCTACAAATATACCCCAGCGACTTAACACTGCTTTTGTGCTCCAGGGTCACAAATATCTAAAGATTCTTAAATCAAGATACATTGAGAAACAAAATGACAAAACAAGAAAATCTTGTAATTTGAGAATTAAAATAAAATAATTAAAATTAAGTGTTTACAATTAAAACAAGAACAAATCTGCCGATGGGGTCAGAAAAATCTGCTCAATTTCATTCAATTTATCAGAAAACAAGGCTTTAACAATCTTCGTTTTGCATCTCAAGTAAGTGTATCTTGACTTAAAGATGTTTAGGTATTTGAACTAGAAAACAAGACAAAAATACTGATGAAGAAATTTATTCTTTGCAGTGCATGCAACATTTAATGCCACAACTTTAATCAACACTTTCTGCTACACTTTAGGACCTTTTAAAGCATTCATTTGAAGAGGGTCAAATTAAAACCAGCAGAAACTGATTTTGCACAAGCAATTTCACTGCAATTTTGTTGATGTGACCACACCTTAATTTTTCACAATACTGTTTTTACAATATTCAGCTACTGACCTCTCATGATGGGGGTACGTCTGCAACTCAGAACGAGCGCAGCCAGATGGATTGATGGACAGTGGAAGCACCAACATGGGATTATGTCCATAACGGAATCGATACCTTGAGCACGCCTCCACACCCGGCAGCTACAATACAGTGACAAATCAACGAACTGCACATAACTGGACATCTCACTCTACAATATGCATTGAGTGCATAAGGTTGATTGAGTACTAAGGTTGATTGTACTTACTGATTCAGCAATGCGGGTGACTGCTGAGATGGTGAGCCCAAACAGGTCCTCTCCCTTCAGATAGATGGGGAAGAGTCTCAGCATGCCCGTCTCAGCCCTCCTCTCGGCCACGGGCCCAAGAACCTTGTCCCAGACTCCTAGAGCACACAAACAAATAAAAAAACATCATGTCGCTGTCAGGTAGGACTGGTAAGATTATCTTTAACTGGTTTAAATGAAGAGCTAAACAAATGATATGGCATAGTGGCCATAATTCAAGGCCTTTCCACTTCAAATATTTAAGACTTTTTATGACTGTAAATTTGATCAAAGTGAATTTAAGACTTTTTTAAGTACCTATGGGAACCCTGTCAGCTTTTATATCAGCATATGTGATTTAATTAATCCAGTGCGGCAGCTGTACCTTTAGCAGTGGTGTCAGTCAGCACCAGATCCTCGTAGCCCTGCTCAATGACACGGATGCTGAATTCGGGACGCCCCTCATGCTCTTCCACAGAGCAGATGTACCGGCAGCGCTTCTGGCCGTGCCGCATGCTCCAGTAGAGCCGGCTCGCCTCGTAGCCAGGTGGAAAGATGGCCGTGGATGAATGAAACGTGAGCAGCAGGGCAGGTGGCAGCTGACCCATTGAATGGAAAAGCAAACTGCCCACTCGGAAAGTATGGTCGCGTTCAGGCTGCTGCACGGCCGCCGCTAACTGTCGCAGCTCATCGCGCTGCACAAACACGCGGCGGAACACGGAGAAGCAGCGAAGCTGCTGTTCTAAGTGCAACCCAGCAGCGGCGCCAGATCCTCGCGGCCGGTGCTGGTGGCACAGCATTGTCTTATCCTTGAAAAACGTACAGCCAGCCTGCAGGGCGCAGGTGAAGTGGTAGATGTTGAGGCAGCGCAGCCGATGGCAGCCACTGGTGGCACCTAAGCGCTGACAGAACGCACAAACCACCGTTTGCCCTCGCTGGCGCGCCAATTCCACGTTGATTAGGGCACCGGCTTGCGTCTCATAGACCTCCGAGGACCAGAGGGCACAGTTGAGGTGCACCCAGGTGTCCAAGTTCAAGTTGAGCAGCCTGGCAGGGCCATCTGTCATCCCATCGCCTATCTGTTGGCAGAAACAGCAGCGGCGCCAGTCTCGAGTGGTTGAGCACGGTCGCAGAGATGAGTTGAGCTGCTGCAAAAGCTCCTCAACTTCCGATTCAGATGTTTGGGTGCCAGCTTTTGGTATCGTAATGTGTACCGTCCATTTTCGCCAGCGCAGGCCTTTCCACCGTTTGGCGTGATGCCATGGTTTGTCTTCCATGTGGCTCTGGGAACGCGGCGTAAGCTTTACCATCACTTTAAGATGACTTTCTGATATGCTTTCAGGTTTGGATTCCATCTTGATCGCTTGAGCTGCCTCGGCTGGGGTGAAAGCCATGTGAAGGTTCGTAGAGGAAGGGGACGGTTTGGGCTGGAGTTGGGCCAGGCAGTGGACGTCTAGCGAGGACATGTTGTTGCTGTACTGGTGCTGGACTTTAGAGGGACACTGTCGCAAAGCACTTTCAGGAAGTAGAGCAACAGATGCCTGGAAATGCAACACAGAAACATGCACAAAATGAATCATGCGTAATCAAGAGCAAATTATCCATCAACAACCACGCTGTTTGCATATGGATTATGACAGAGAAAACAAACCTTGGTGTCAGCGTTCCCATTGGACTGAGAGGAGGATGAGTGCAGAATGAGACAGCTATGACTGCAGAACACCAAACCAGCATCTGAACATAACCGAGACTTCTGGGAGAAATCAGAGGAGGACATCAGGTGTAAAAATGCTAAAACGGCAATTACACAACGATACTAGAGAGCTGTGTCATTTCCCTGTGATGAATGCGATGTAATCTTGTATTGAGGCTTTTAATGTGATTCAGTACATTCATTAAGTGAGTATCTGACACAGATGAGCAGACTTCAATAGGATGGAGTTCAGGCCAAGATCACTACTGTGTTTAAGTAGCTTCTCCAATCGTTCACAAAATCAATAGTGATTTTCCATCAGCAACTCAGCCAGACACAGACACAATATTGCACAGTTAACAAGTGATGGATAAACAATTCCTGATTGCTATCCTATAACTGTATTTGTGTAAACAGGCTGAATGCAACCGTCTACCAATCAGGCTAATTGTACTGCTGCATTCACATATGTGACCCTGGAGCACAAAATCAGTGTTAAGTCGCTGGGGTATATTTGTAGCAATAGCCAAAAATACATTGTATGGGTCAAAATTATTGATTTTTCTTTTATGCCAAAAATCATTAGGACATTAAGATCATGTCCCATAAAGATATTTTGTAAATTACCTACTGTAAATATATCAAAACTTAATTTTTGATTAGTAATATGCATTGCTAAGAACTTCATTTTAACAACTTTAAAGGCGATTTTCTCAATATTTAGTTTTTTTGCACCCTCAGATTCCAAACCATACATCAATGGAAAGCTTATTTATTCTGCTTTGATATGGTGTATAAATCTCAATTCAAAAAAATTGACCCATATGACTGGTTTTGTGGTCCAGGGTACATATATGTATAATGCACCATAAAATGTATTTATATATTTAGTCATTCATTCATTCACCTACTAATTTTCATCCCATCATTGTCAGATATAATGTAACAAAAGTACTTTATATATTATATATAAAGATAAAATATTTCTTTGGTTTAGATTTTTTTGAATGTATATACACTGCCGTTTAAAAGTATGGGGTCAGTAAGGTTTTTGGAGAAATAAAAATTGTATTCAGCAAGAATGCATTCATTTGATCAAAAGCAACAGTAGACACACTCATAATGTTACAAAGATTTCAATTTCAAATAAATACTATTAGTTTGAACCTTCTATTCATCAAAGAGTTCCGCTAAAATCCTGCTTAAAAATCATGGCTTCCACCACTGTCTTCAACACTGATAATAAGGAATGTTTCTTGAGCAGCAACTCGTATAAAACTGATTTCTGATACTGGAGTAATGATGCTGAGATTTCAGCTTTGATCACAGGAATAAATTACATTTTAAAATACATATTTAAATAGAAACTAAACAATTCGAATTGTAATAATACTTCACAGTATTACTGTTTGAACAAAGACAAAGACAAGCAAGCATTCCTCACTTTTGTTAAGGTTGTGCTGTAGCTGCTGAGGTGCTTGCTGTGTGGCTCGTAGTCCGTTCGGCTCATGAAGGGCAGAGGTCAGATGCTGTGGATCCACTGAGGTCTTGATGGCCCCCATAGTTCCTCCAGGGCCACTGCTGACCTCGTAGCTGCTGGGGATCTTCACATGGATCAGGTCAGCAATGGCTGCAACAACGTCAGTGATGTTCTGAAAGACCACAGTGAAGAACGAGAGGGGTTTAGATATTAAATCTAGTTATTTATTCTATTTCCGCTCACTGCGTTTGCACTGACTGCTTGTACAATGAATTTAAATTATCTGTCAAATTTTGTGTACGCTCATTCTGTAGCAGGGAAATGGCTGTACTTCATGTTCGTGCTGTCAAAACAAGACAAATCCTCTGCAGTCGTGCAAAAAGTGAACACTGTTTCTCACCCCCACAGCTGCTGGCTTCAGTGTGATGGCGATGGACACCAGCCCAGTGTTGGAACCATTTTGCACTGATCCAAATGGAGAGCCGAAGAACACTGATGAAGGCTCCGTCTTGACCTCTCGTAATCTGACCTCTGAGCCTACAACACAAGTGGAATAAACCAAATGGATTAAAAAAACGAATCCACTGTGGTCACCCAGAACATTTAGAATGTAAGTGTAGGCACAAAATTGAAGGAGTTCGTTACCTTTGCCCCTAAAGACAGGAAACATTGGAATTACTGGAGACAGGGCTGGAGAAGGAGGTTCCTCCTTGACCAATGAGAGATCAGGATAGCGGCTGATCTCCATGCCAACGACACTCTCTGGGGAAGAAGACGGGACGAAGCTGTCTGGGGTGTCTCTGTCTTCACATTGCTCCTGTCCCCTGTGTGTACAAGTGAAATACATTTTAGCTGAGAAGTTGAAAAATAGTCGAATGGTTAGAAAATACAATCCCTTGTCAGTGAAGTACTGTCCACCTGATATTTTGTTTCCATTACATTTATGCACATACTATGGGGATTCTTCTGTTGGGGCGCTTTTGAATGTTCCAAAATAATGAAACTTCTTCAAAAGGGTTTCTTCTGTGTTAAAGCATTTGCTCTGGAATAAAGATCTTAACAAGGCCTTGATCAACCTTAAAGTGGATTTTAGAGTAATGATGACATTTTTTTAATATTGTGTGTTTTTGCAAAAAAAGAGTTGGGTTTGAGTTTGGCCTTGAACGCAAGTTATTTAGCAGTCAATTCAGTTTGAATTTATAAAAAATAAACAAATAATGTTTGACTATTATTATTATTTATTCACTTTTTTAACGCCATGCCAGCATCAAGGCTATTTTCATGGTGATCTCTGAATAAATTATACAAGGTATGCAATTAAAAAAAAGTGTATAAAAGACATTCCAGATGTACACTAGACAAAAATTCTAAAATACATTCAGGTGATACATTTTTAAATAAATCAGTTAGACAATAATGTTTGATAACAACACCTAACAAACCTACTTTTAAAATCATCATGTAAAACAAAATCTTCAAACTATCACTCTGTAGTGTGGCAGTACAATTACTGGTTTAACGCTATAAATGTACTGCATTATAGAGGGAAGTCTTGGTAGGAGATAAGCTAAAAGTAGAGAAATCTTACAAAGTAATTACTTCCCCTAACTGAGGAATCAACCCTTTATTTTAAGGAATTCACTTCTGAGGTCCTTTCTGAGTGTAATTAAAGAAACCTCTCAGAAACCTGACCATTGCACGTCTCATACCTAATGCCAAGACCCTTTTATAATATTTAAAAATTAATTTACAGTGATGATAATATTTACTAGCATCATAAAAGTTACTTTAATTCTTAAAAAAGGTATTAAAAAAAGGGGAGGGGGGGTATGTACACTACTGTTCAAAAGTATTCTGTTTTCAATTTAAAAAAAAAAAACAGAAAAATAGTATTATGAAATATTGTAAATAACTGCTTTTTATTCTAATATATTTTAAAATAGTATTTATTCATGTGATGGCAAAGCTTATTAGCCATTACTCCATTACTCCAGTCCCCCTGGTCATTTCATTACTGCTAGTACCTCTAGAACTGGGCGATATAGCCTCAAAATTGTATCACTATATTTCAAGAATATTTGCGATAAAGATATTAATGACGATATAGAAAAAAAAACATGGAACAACGTTTTATTGGTGATTGCAGCTGGCAGGCAGCAGCATTTATTAGCGCAAACAAAATGAAGGGCATTTTCCATCCTTTTCCAATGAGCTACTGTCATCGATGGCAGACTACCTAATTTGAAATGTAAACTATTGTCATAAGGTGGCGGCAGCAGCTGTGTGTTTGACTTGAAGCAGACCGATCGGTGTATGACGTCAAAATACCGCGAGAGTGACTTACCCTTTATTAACACGGCGCATTACGGCTCCGAAGCGGCCACTCTAGTCAATGCTTGTGTTTACACCAGCGGAGTTGTGGCACCTTTCAAAAGCGTCCCAGAAGCGGCTTTCCGCGCTGCTTCGCTAAAGATATGCGCCTCGCCTATTTTTGAAGGTAAGAGTGTGTGCTCAAATATGCTCTAGAACTGCTCTCACGATACTTTGATATCATACACCGATCAGTCTGCACAGTGCTGCTTCAAGTCGAACACACCTTTTGGGTTTGTGGTGTTGTTGTTGCACGCACTAGGGAACGTAAATGCGCCATACGTCATCGTGTCGCTATATCATTGATAGCACGATATGACACTTTTTTTAATCATGTACAAATTTATACCGGTATAATCGCGGACGGTATGATATGGCACACCCCTACTTAACAAATTTCAATTGTAACTCTACCCTGTTAATGAAAATACACATTTGAAGGACATACTTTGATATAACAGAAACATCAGTGGGAAGTGTAATCCCAGTTCTTGTTATCTGTCTACTGACCTGAGCTCTTCCTGGTTGTTATGAGGTGGGGTGGGAAGAGAAGCCGGCACATTCACAGTTTTGGGCCCCTGAGCCAGAGCTCGAGCTAGCAGCTCCTCCTCAGCCTTAAACTGCAGCGGTCGAGAAAGCAGCCCTTTGGTGACTGTTGAAACACAACAATTATTATCATTAGTGTCCACTGTCCAATATATTATTTTTATTTTGTGATCTAAATGTTTTATCTTTGTTTTGGCCTATTGATATTAATTGCTCACCATCATGGCCAACAATGACGCCACCTTTGCTGGCCAGCTCCTCTGTTGTGGCAAAGCCATTGAGCAACTTCTGGCGCGCCACTGGAGGAGGAGTCGGGGGAAGAGAGGCAGGGGGCGTGGGGGGGTTGCTCAAATTATTCTGCTGTAGAGAGAGAAAAATACGAGTGACCATCTGTATGTCTCATACATGAAATCTAATCATCTGATGTCACGAGACTTGATGCTTGAAGTCATAAAAAAGCTTCAGCGGCAAATGTACAGTCACAGAGTGTTTTATTAGCTGCTCTTAATTACCTTGTAAATCAGCTGGGAGTAATAGTCAGAGACACCATCCAATGAGGCGCTCCCAAATGTGCCCGAGAGACGGCTCTCTCCGTCCAGCTGTCCGCCCCCATAGGGCATGAAATGGGCAAAGTTCACCCCCACCAGAGGCTCCATTAGGGGCAAGAGAGAAAGCTGCTGGTGCAGTGAAACAATGAGACACAAAGAGCGACATATGGGAAATGTGAGATAAAGGTCATGCTTAGAAGAGCGTTAGAAGAGACAGAGGTCCTATTTGAGTGTAATTAAGAAACCTGTCAGAAAACTGACAACTTCTCATGTGATGAGCATAAGGTATGAGATACACCTTATGCTTAGACTCTTTATAATTTTTATTTCACAGTGATGACATTTACTATTATAATAAAAGACAAAATATACTTTAATTAAAACAAATTTAAATATGATATTAAAATAGTATTCAATTGATTTGATCAATTTAGTATTTAGTTAAACTGAACCAAATATGGGTGCAATCTCAAAAGTACAGAAAAAATAACTTGGCATACAATTTTTAAATGTTTTTGAAAAGTCTCTTATAAACACCAAGGCAGCATTTCTTTTTTAGAGTAAAATTAAGTGTATTTTGAGTAATAATTAGAGTAAAATTGTACTATGAAATATCATTATAGTTTAAAATGACTGTTTTCTATCTGAATATATTTTCCTGTATTGCTAAAGCTGAATTTTCAGCATCTTTACTCCAGTCTTCAGTGTCACATGATCCTTCAGAAATAATTCTAATATGCTGATTTGTTGCCCAAAAACATTTCTTTTTATTAACAAAGTTGAAAACAGAAATATTTGATAACATTTTAACTGTCTTTATTGTCACTTTAAAACAATTTAATTTGTCCTTGCTGAGTAAAAGTATTAATTCTTTCCAAAACAACAACTGTTAAATTCCTGAAAACTTCTTGACAGAGAAATCTTCAGTCGGGAGCATTTTAAAACTGCTGTGTCGACCCCAGATTCCTCAATCACAGAGGTCATTATCTACACCAGTGACTTTCTTTTATGTGATGAGCGTTCATAATGTCTCACAGCACTATCCTCCTCTGGCCAGTGATTTCTATTGTGATGATACACAAGGCATTAGTTGATTTGGCACAGTCTCTCCTGTCTGTAATCATGTCTGTGATTAAAAGCAGAACATGCTTGACTCATTCTCATATTGCATGACAAAGTGGCTATGACAAACATACGTACCAGACTACTGTGCCTGTGCGTAACAAGAAATTGTTTTAGCAAAGCAACAAGTGTATGATATCTAACATTGAGTGGATTTGCTGATAGTCTTAAATTACTGTAAAAAAAAAAATAACTTTCTTATTTAGCATTTAGTCTTATATCTCAATAAAAATATCTAAACGTCCTCAAAAGAAAGTTTAATTGTTAAACGATTTATTATTTTTTAAAGAAAGAAATTAATATTCTTATTTAGCAAGGATGCATTTAATTGATAAAAGGTGACAGTAAAAACATAATGTAACAAAAGATTTCTATTTCAAATAAATGCTGTTCTTTTGAAATGTCTCCTCAGCAAAAAATCCTGACAAAAAATGTAACGGTTTTCACGAAAATATTAAGCAGTACTGTTTTCAACATTAATAATAATAATAATAAGAAATGTTTCTTGAGCAGCACAATGATTTCTGAAGGATCATTTGACACTGAAGACTGGAGTGAAATTCAACTTTGCCATAGAATAAATAAAACTATAACATGTTTTAAAACAGAAAACTGTTATTTTGACCTGTAATAATATAGTAATGTTAAATGATAAGCAGTAAAATATTACTCATAATGACCACATTTCTGGTTTGGTGTTTATGAAGAGATATTTAAGCCCTACTGACGGGCGTGGAAGTACATACGACTGACCTAGACTGAAAATATAAAGGATTTTTCATTGTACCTGTTTTAACTGGGTCATTACTGGCTCAGAGGAATACACTGCTTGATCCTCGTCCTCCTCTTTCTTCCTCTTTTTACAGCGGGGAGCGGGTCTGTCTCCGCTCTTGGGTGCCCTCTTGTTCCTCTGTTTCTTCTTGTCCTCTGGAAGAAATGGTCCGGGGAAATCAAGGTGGTTTGAATCCGAGAACGTCTGTGAGGAAGGAAAAATGACACCATCAAGACGAGAGCTCAAAAATACCCATGTTTTGAGATGACAATATCTCCTGAATCACTCACCCCAGTGCTATCCATGGAGCTCTGTCGCAGAAAAGCTTTGAAGTCCATGGATCCCTCTTCCTCTGACCTCAAACTGTCTCCAGACCTCTGGTGAGGCAGTGCAGAAGGTGGAGTCCTCTTATTCTTCAGGAGGTGTTTGAGGAGTTCATTCCCAGCTTCTCCTTTCGAGCTGTTGGCTGGACTTTGGCTCGCAGGATGAAGCAACATTCCCTCCCTCTCTCCCTCTACCTTGACCATGCCTAGTCCCATTTCCATCTCCATTCCTTTATGCCCATGGCAGTCACTTGCCTCCACCTTCTCCAATTTGATGTTGGACAGGATCCTGTCATGCATCTCCTGTTGGCACATGGCCATCTCTGGCCCTCCACCGCAGCTGCCTTCAGAAAGCTGGCGCTCCAGCTCAGAGTGGGGCTGGCTGCTCATGGAGCCTGGTGTAGACGATCCAGGCTGGGACGTCTCGCAGAACTCATGGTCGCCGAAGACCATTGGGTTCCTTGTCGGTGTGGATGATGTATCTGAGACACAGGGTGTTAACGGGGCTGTCAGGTCCGAGCGAGGTGTGGAAGGAGCTCTCAGCGACTCACAATCATCATCTTTCTTCTTCTTGCGGTTCCTTTTCTTCTTGCCCTTCTCCTCCGGAATGATGTTGGAGTACAGCTGGATCAGTGACGGACCGGGACCTGGAAAGTTCGGAGGCAAGGGCATGGGACACTCCATTGGGAACTGATGCCCTTGAGTTGGATTCTGAGGCATCATGTTTGGCCCAGGATATCGCTGAGGTCTAGCTTGTGCCTGGACAAAGTTAGGCCCATGGGGTGCTAGGTTCTCAGAAACAAACCCCGGTCCCATTTCCTGAGGGAATGGACCGTTACCCATCATTGGTCTGGATGGTCCTCCAACGAACCCTGGTTGCATGCCTTGCTGATGTGGAAATGGTGGACCTTGCATCTGCTGTTGCATTCTGGGTGGCTGCATGAAGTCCTGCGGTAGCTCCTGGTTGTAAAAAGGCATTTGTGACAAGGCCCTCATTGTACCATCTTGGCAGTTAGGGACTTGCTGTTGCTCCATGCAGTGTTTCACATGCTGTCTTTCCACCTCCTTCATAAGCTGCACTCTTTGCCTCTCCTGCTGCTCCCGTAGCCGCTCCTTGCGCTCACGCTCCTGGAAGCCTTCACTAAATGGGTTGGTATCGTCGAAATTCACGTGAGAAGACTCGCCACCTGCCTGCCCCTGACTGGGCCTTGCCACTGCCGGCTGCGTAGGCTGTGCCTGCACTACTTGAGCAGGCATTACTCCTGGCATTTGAGGTGCTCCACTGGCAACAGGTGCACCAGGGTGCCAACCTGCTGTGTTGGTCACACTAGTTGCATCTGGTTGGCCAGGGTGGAGACGAATGGGCATCATGGGACCCATCATAGGTTGGTTCATTGGGGGCTCAACTGGCATCATGCCAGCATGGGGCTGCATTGGTGGCATTCCATGCATCATTGCAGGCTGCATGCTACCTTGTTGCTGCTGATTAACCCTGTACTCCTCTATCAGCTCTGCATGCTCCTTCTGCTGTTTGCGGATCTGGAAAAAGCACAGGAAAAAATTGGACTGAAACATTTACAACTACATTAATTTTTCCATTCATTTAAACATGTCCTTGACAATTACAAGAAAATGTCTCCAAGTTTGAGGGAATATGTCCTTGTCTTTCTAATATATAGTGATGAATCTTTGAAACAATGTATGTATGAATTAAAGGTAGGGTAGGCAATTTTGGAGAGGCTAGCAATAGCAAGCTAGCTTTGAAAGCATAAGATCCCACTCTCCCTGCAAAATCAGTCTCCAAAGCTACGCCTCCTCCAAAACGCATGATTGTGCACAGGCAGACCAGAGGCTAACCAGCGAAACGATGAGAGAGCGTTGGTGAAGGGTTGAATGCAACGCTGTCAGATGACCTCATGTCATAATATCACAATAATAACGCCTTCCATTCTCACGCTGATGACGTATCATGTCTACATGAACAGGGTGCGCGGAAGGATGCAAATACATACGTTGACAGGCAGGTAGGACAGCCTATCGTAGCCCTCGGACCGAGGGATATGATTGGACAAACATTTTATGGTTCTATGCCTTCCACAGATCTAGTTTTACATTTTTTAATTAGTTTTATTTCAATATAGTTTTTTTTAACGATATAATTTATAATTTGCTATAAAATTCAGTTTAGTTTTTATTAGTTTCATTAATATTGCTGTTAGTTTTAGTTTAGTTTTTATTTTGTGAACACATTTTTATTTAGTTTTTATATAGTTTAGTTTCAGTTTTAGTTTCAGTTTTAATTAAAGTTTAGCAGAATTAACAGATAACTTCCAGAGCGCAGGCCAAAGAAAGACTATAAGGCATAATTTAGCCTTATAGGCAAACGTCTAGCGACACAAAATTAACGCATGCTAAGATTGATTAAATGGTAAAATTATACAAATATACACCAAAATGAAGCAGTCAAGCCTTTTTACAAAAAAATTCTACACAAGTGCTTAACGTCATATCTAATTATGTGTATTGAGATATTTGATATGAAAATAAATGGTATCAAATAAATAATTTGGTTATGATGGTTAGATCTCTTTTTTCTTATTTAACCATAATCATGATATTGTAGCCTAACTGTCTTGTCTTGCTCACTTTTCCGTGAACAACTGCGCATAAATCATAACTGGGACTAATGAAATTCAATAATAACGGCAAACGCATTTAACAGTAAAGGCTCATATTTGAATATGCTCTTTTCATTTATGAAGAATTATAAGCGTGTGTATGATGTGATTTAGCCTATGCACATTTGTCCGAAAGCCTGGCAGAGTGATCACAAGACGCTAGGCTAAAGTTTTGTATTGTTTACAGAAAGGATGCTCGTTCTCATCTTTTTTTTCTGTTAATTATCACGTTGCACTGCATGTCTGTTTTTCTTCAAAGCACCAACTTAGAATGCCTAATTTTGGTTTGATTGCTTGTGTTACATGAGAAAATAATGCGGGTGCGGTTCGGGTCGCAACTCATGGTCTTTATTATGTCAGATGGATCTTGGTCTGGTACAGAATTAAATTAGTGCTGTTGTTGGATAACGGGTCGAGTGTTCTTTTAAGTACTGCTGGTGCGTGTTTTGCATCTGCTTTGCGTCTCTACGTCAAATAACCCCATGTGCGCGATGCACCATTTACAGGTATTTCCCTAAACTGCCACACAGCTCATATATTTTTCCGCCAAGGGGTGAGAACGTAATGATTATGAAAACGATTATTTATTTTTGATAATAATTATTTTATTTCAGTTACTTTTTCAATAACTGTTGTTAGTTTCATTTCGTTTTAGTTTTTCAATTATTTTGTCATTTTTATTTTATTTCAGTTTACAGTTTATTTTTCATCAATCGTTTTTGTATTAGTTTTAGTTTTCGTTTACGGAAAAAACCTTGCCACAGATTATATAAATACATTTAGACCACTTAACTTAGTGATTGCTATCGGAATGTGAAGAGACTTTCAACCCAAAAAACAAAAACATGTTTTTGAACCAAACCACCGACTCTGTCTTTAAAGGGGTCATATGATGCGATTTCAATTTTTCCTTTCTCTTTGGAGTGTTACAAGCTCTTGGTGCATAAAGAAGATCTGTAAAGTTGCAAAGACTAAAGTCTCAAATCCAAAGAGATATTCTTTATAAAAGTTAAGAGTCAGCCACACCTACCTAAAACGGCTCGTTCTAACACGCCCCCACATATCTACGTCACTATGTGGGAAGATTTGCATAACGCCGCCCAAATGTTCACACAAAGAAAGAAAGCGTAACTTTTATTCTCGCTGTAGTTTTGTTGTTTCCGCCGCCATGTCGTAAAGACGCTGTGTGTTTCGTTGTGAAAGTGAAACTACTTTGTTTGGTCTTCCAAAAGAGGACTATATCTGCTTCGTCATGCCTGGAGCTGATCCGTGCTGGTCACTGAGGAAATACTACCACTCTGCGCTGTCGATCGCCGGATCGGCTTTCACCGTGGACGAAGCGGAGTCCTGCCCGGGGTCGCCACATGTCCTTCCGGACGTTCCTTTGTCGAAATCGCCGGCCGCGCCGTTCTCAAGCCCAAAACGTGAGTTTTGAGCAGTGTAGAGTAGACATTTTTTCAGGATAAACACATTTCATGACTAGAGATCAGTGGTTAAGTTGTATTTACAACACTGTTCCAGAACACGTCAACCCAAATATTCGGATGTGTCCAGCACATTTTATGGAGGACAATTTCCTGATCCTGGGAGAGTAGACTACAATGCCGGCTGTTCTGACTCAAAGACTGTAAGTACGTCTTTTATATTTAAAGAGTTTTTATATTTTATATATTTAAAGCGAGTTTTTTGGGCAGTGTAGAGTAGTGCTTGTTGTTTGTCATTTCTCCGATCACAAATGCAGACATGTTTTTATGTTTACGCGGCGCGATGCAACGCAACGCGTAAAAAGACAGTATAAGTCATTATAATCCATAATTATGTCCCCACTGGATGCAACGAATGCCTCGTTTATAATGGGTTTTCATGTTTTTGAATCATCGCTCCGGCCGGACAGGGCATCATCACAATATGGTAGGGGCGTAACATTTCCGTCACACGCTTGAGGTATTCGGCCAGTCAGAGCACACCTCGCTTTTTCAGACCGATGAGCTTTGTAAAAATCGACGCGTTTCAGAAAGGCATAGAGGAGAAACAATAATGTACAGTATGTGGAAAATAATGTGTTTTTTGAACCTTACACCGCATAAACACATTTCATTACACCAAATACACAAAATAATGTTATTTTTAGCAGCATCACGTGACCCCTTTAAGTCAACAACAGTATGTTAGAAATAATAATAATACTCTTCATTAGACATTGATTCATTGTAAATGTAGCAGTATTTCTTACATCAGAAAATATAATTTCATAGTATATTACCTTTTCAAATTGTACAAACCATAGCTGAACCATAGATTTAACAGATTCTTTTTAGAAAAAAGACTTTTCTATCTTTGACTGTTACAAATGGAAAGAGTCATCCAAATATTTAAGGACGAATGATGAATGATGAAATTAATATTTGTATTCATATTAGGGCTGTCAGTTTAACGCGTTAACTTAATTAATTAGTTATGAAAAAATAACGCGATTAAAATTTTTGAATGCAGTTAACGCACTGGCCCCGCCCCCAGACCTGTACGTCATCTTACATTTCATACAGTGGACTGTTGACAAATATGATGCAGGGCAACAACTCCATAAATGCAGTTATGCCCTAAAATTCAAGATAATGGTGCAAAAAAGGCCTCTGTATGAATTTCTGTCTCATATTTATATCGTAGGATAAGCGACAGACTCGTGTGGAGCAGCGAGAGCAATATCACAAGAGTGCTGTTTTTGTCACGAAGAACAAGTACAAATGTGATTTTATACAACAGTTCAGTAAACAAGAAGTTAATATTGTGCTATATTTAAAGCACAATTTTGTGAGTTTTTGTTCAATTTTGCCATCGAAAATATTACCTAAAAGCCACAGCAGAATTGCTGTGCGTCTCTGAGCAACACAGTGGTGTTTAGTTTCTGAATGAATCCGCATTTTGAACAAATCGTTTGAACCAATGATTCAGTAGCCCATTCATACCCTGCATCCCAATGTGCATACTATCCACCCTATCTGCCCTAAGTAGTACTGAAAATTACTAATATCACATAGAATTTAGGATGGATCTTGTGCACATTGGGACGCAGACATAGAGAGAGCTGTTTACTTCATTCCTGAGTGAATCAGCCGTTTGAACGAATCAACTCATAAATACATTTACCAACTCCTGCTGGTAGTTTTCATTTCTTCTTTAAAGTATCATTTCATTTATTTAAAAAAAGGTATAATTAAAGGGATTAAAGGGATAGTTCAACAAAAATAAATAAATAAATTCTGTCATGTTGTTTCAAACCTGAATGATTTACTTTCTTTTGCACAACATAAAAGAAGGTATTTTGAATACTATTTATAATATAACTAAGCTGTTTTGGTCACTAGTGACTTTCATTGCATGAACAAAAATACTGAGATGTTTCTCAAATTATCTTCTTTTATGTTCCATACTTTATGTTAGGCCATTGTAGCCTAAGCATTTAACACAATAATAGATTTAAATGATCTTTTGGGGGTATTTTCACAGCCAAATTTAGTTTTACAGCACCCTGTAATTAATTAGATTAGAAATTTTAATCGACTGACAGCCCTAATTCATATTAAAACATTCTGAAAAACTATTAAATGGTAAGATGTTAACACTAAGGGCGATAGCTGTAGTATTAATAACTGTTCTAATTTTCTGAGAATAATGATGTCCATGCCACAACTTTAGTGATGACGACACAGAGAAACAATATCATTTTAATCACTTTCAAAGTGTTTTTTGTAATCTGATGAACGATAAAAACACCAACAGCCAATCAGAATCCTGAAGAACTTGAGCATTTAAAGCAGCAGATGACAACTGCAGCACACACTTAAATTAAACCGATGGCTATCGTCCATTGGTGTGGACACTAGTATAGTTATTGTTATAGTGTGCATGGGCTTTAAATCAAATGATAAGGTGCTTTGTTTTCAATGATGAAATGATATGTGTATTTTTATTTAATTTTCAATGCAATTATAATACTTTTCTAGATTATCTTATAAACTGAGAATTGTTTTATTAGGTTTATTTTTCAGAAAGAGGCCAGGGACTTCATCTGTAAGCAAAGCGGCTCATGAAGATCAAACCATGAATGACTGATATTATGTGTGTGTTTTACCTGTTCCAGCTGTTTCTGCACCACCCCCTGCTGCTCTGTCACATGTTTCAGCTGCTCTGCATCCTCCTCAGGAAACTCCCGTCCTGCTTTCTTGGCAGTTCTCTGCTTGGCTGACAGGGCCTTTTTTGACTTTCTATGGGCCCCAATCTGCTCCTCCAAAAACTTCTGCTGCATCTGAAGTAGCTGCTGGGTTTCCCTGAGCCAGTCTTCATACTGAACCTTCTGTGCATCATCTTGATGGGGAAAAGGTTGGAATTAATAATTACTGGCATACAGAATAAATTTTTGTGGTTAAGTGTAAAATGACAATTTAAATATGTTAATAAATGCTTATTTTGGAATTACATTTCACATTATACACATCTTCATATTCAGAATGTTTGTTTCATAACTGGATGAGTAACACCAGTGTGGACTGCATTACTGATATCCATAATTACTAAAGACTTACGGGAAAATCCTGGTCCAAAATTTGGGGGATTGGGTCGTGCCATGTGAGGAGCAAGTTTGCCATCCTAAATGAGAAATTAACAGAACATTGAGACAAACTGAAATCTGCTGATTCCATGTGTGCCTGCTGATAAGAAGAAATCTGAAGAGTCTCACCTGTCCAGCCAACTGCACTGGAGTTATACCTCCATCAGGGCCTGGTAGCTCCTGCCCTGTCTGGACACTAATTGAGATTTTGTGAAGAGGAGAGTAAAGGAAAAGCCATTAACGAAAAAGCTCATACACTGAAATAAATCTAATAACATTTCAGTCTAATAAACGAGACCATTAACTCACTTGTTCATGACCATAGGAGACATTCCCATGTTGTTCTGGACCACCATTTTATTGATTCCTTTCAATGCAACCATCTTTGCTTTCATTATGGGGTCTGTGATAGCATCAAAATCTGAATAAATCAATGGAAAAGTATGCAAATTTAAGTCAATTATAGTCAAGTACACATTTTGCCACATGCAAAACAGAGAAAGGCCTAATCTCGAATCAAGGAAGAACAGAATTAGATCTTGTTATATTAGCTACCCCTTACCTATGTTGGGGAAGAATGAATCACTGGGATGCTGTCTTATCATAGCTTGCATTTGCTTCTGCTGCTGCTGCTCCTGTCTCTCCTGATCCAGGAGGTCTTGGAGAAGGAGTGGTTGCTCCTCCAGAAGCAGTGGTCTGATCTGATTGCCTTGCTGTGACAGCATTGCCTGTTGAGCAAGAATACTGTGTTGTTCCCCTGAGAGTACAGCATCCTTTTGATCCATACCAAAAATATGGCTTTGTTGTTGTTCCTGAATGGAGCCTGGGACTTCTAATGTGCTTTCACCATGAGAAGACACCAACGATTGGTCAATACTGAGGCCAGTATCTATCCCCTGCACTGAGAAGTTTCCTTGCCCCAGCATAGTGCTACTGAGTGACAATGTAGCTTCCTGACTTGGTGGGTTGCCTTGTGCTGATGAGTGTTCCTGCTTCTGTGATTCACCTTCTGGTGGTACATTGACCAGCATGCTTGAAAGCACTGGAGTAGCATCGGGGTGAATTCCAGACTTTGGAGCCTGTAAACTGGCATCAATATCACTTTCAAAGCCAGCTTGATTAATGGCAGCACTATCATTTACCTGATTCTTACAAGATGTGTCTCGGGACAAGCAATCTTTAATTCCATTTTTGCTATCCTCCTCTGTTTTCAAGGAAACCAACACCTGATCCTGAGGAACGTCTGGACTGATGTGACCTTGAGACTGAGCCGTTTTGTCTACTACTTCCTTTGCTGTTGATGTTGAGCATGACGATGATGAGCCATCAAAACTATCAGTCTTTTTCTCAGCTTTTGTCTTTTGGAAATCATACGTCTCAGCGTGGTCTTCTATTGGATCACTGAGATCCAGGTCCTCACTAAGATCTAAATCAGCATCAGCATAGGCAATTATATCAAATTTCCCAGAAGTTAAGAAGTCATCTAGATGCAGGTCATTCGTTTCAAGATCCAAGTCCTTTCCATCATCTGGATCGAGATTTAAGTTCTCTAAATCGGCATCCACAAGGTCCTTCACCTCAACATCTTCAAGGTCCTTCACAGCAGATTCATCAGTATCGATTTTCTCCTCAGGTACTTCATTTGTGGATAAAGGGACCTCAATGTTTTGGACAGCAGATATAGCAGCAATACTTGTGAGTAAGGGAGCACTGAGAGTCTCACTGGAAGCAGGTTGACTTATAGACCTCGTCAGGGGGATTTGTGGATGTCCAGCTCTCAACAGAATATTGGCTTGTTGTAAATTCCCCAAGCTGAGAGATGCCTGCATCTGCGTATTAGCTACCTGAGACTGATTAATTGTTGTGTCCATTGGCTTTGGAACTTGATTGAAGGGAAATCCAATTTCTTGGCCACCCATGAAACCTGGGGGCCGTTGCTGTGAGGGCAATTCCATTCGATTTCCCTGCATACTAGGAGCTCCAAAGGGAAGCCGAAGTCTGCTATCTGGCGCTCTGTGTCTCAGTTCTATGAAAGGCTGCCCCATGATGTTGTGCTGTTGCACATGCATGCCACGAGGAGGTAAATGTGGGGTTACTAAGGGGTTGCCTCCTATTGATTTCCCCAAGTCCATAGACATGGATCTTCTCATCTGTGGATGAGCTTCAATTATTGGGTCGTGCATCTGATGTGGTCTTGGAGCTGCTATAGGACCTTGGACATTAGGAGTGAGGGGCATCCTAAAATCAACAAAAGAACATAATATTTGCAGTGTTTTTGAATAACATTAGTCCCTACATTTCATACAAATGGTTTGAAGTATATAATTTCACCCACCTTGGCCCAAGCTGCCTTATATTTGAGTCAGCATGTGCAGGAAACTGTGGTATAGGAAACTGGCCTTCAGGGAAATGCCCCTGTTGATCTCCTGGGAATGGCCCATGGAATCTCTGAGGGGCTCTCACAGCTCCTGGACCAGGATATGGTGGTGGTGGGCGATTAAAAATTTCACTCTGTTGGCCTGTAGACTCCAGACTCCAGTGTTGAGGGGTTCCTGGAGGCATGGTCAGAGGATGATCCTGTACACCCTTATCTTGACGTATGGCACTCTTCTGCTGTTGCTGTTTGAGGATCAGCTCTCGAATACGCTGACGCTGTAAACAAATTAACATTGTGTTAATTAGTGTTGTACAAGTTATATATTGTAACTAATACAGTGCACTTCATAAGCAAATAAACCATCTTAAATAGAGTAGCAACAAAATAAAACCACACCTGTCTGAGTCTTTCCTCAGCTTCAGCAAGAGGTACTGTTTGAGCTTCAGTGCTGGGCTGGCCCATGGGGTGGGAACTCATACGCTGTACCAAACCTTGTTGTTCTTTATTTTCTCCACATTGAGGATGTGGAAGCATGGGGGCCTGCTCAAAAGGGTCATGGATGAGAGTCTGATTGGGTCGACTGGATATTGGCTGATTTACGGTTTCATCTGTCATGCCCAGATGTTTAAGGGTCTGAGGTCCATGTTTTGTTGGACTGGCAAAAGAGTCTTGCATCAAGACTTGAGGAGGAGAGAATGGATCTTGATTGGCCATGGGCCCAGGTACCAATCCCTGTCCGACTCCTCCAGGATGAGGTGTTCGTGAGGGATGTGCACATGAATCATTAGGTAATGACTGGGACCTTCCCAATGACTGTGCGTGAGGATCAGGCACTACAGGGCGTGGCAGTCCGGGGGATTGACTAAAAGGATCAGTAGTCCTTTGGTGACTTGGAGACTTGGGGAACCGGTCTGCCATTCCTGGGCGTGGGGTCCCAGGGGGTTGAGCGTAAGGGTCCATTGACATAGGAGACATTATGCAGTTTTGAGTCTGCTGCTGAGAGGGTTGATTCATCATGACCGGATGACGAGATGCAGGCTGCTGAGAGTAGGGTTCAGGGTCATGTGGTCTAGGTGTGCCTGGCATTCTAGCGTATGGGTTAGAAAACGATAGAGATGGGGCAAAAGGGTCACTCGAAGGTCTTGGTGTAGCAGACTGTTGTCCATAGGGATCACACTGGGAATAGTCTGGCCGAGGGGTGGAAGGGGCTCGAGCATATGGGTTACAGGAAGGCTGGCGTGCCATTGGCCCAGGCTGAGAAAAAGGGAGGGTTTGGGGCTGTCGTGAAAGCCTCTGATTTGCATAGCCGTCACCTACTGCAGGACGAGGAGTGAGCGGAGGCTGTGCATAAGGATCGTTCTGTTGATTCTGGGAAAATGATTCAGAAGGACGAGGGGGCATCATTGGTCTTTCGAAGGGATCCCCACTTGCTCTCCGTGCATGCATACCTGCATATTGTTCCTGAGCCTGAGGGGGTGGCATAGGGGTTTTAAAGACCTGGATGGACCCTGATTCATTGCTGCCTGGAATAGGAGTGAGTAAAGGACGAGCATATGGGTCTGAGAGTATCATCCTGCCCTGGGGCATTCTCTGGTAGGCTTCCTTTCTCACAGACACCCTAGAGAATGGATCATGGCTTGGGGAGCCAATAAGATGCCTCCCTTCCACTGTCTGACTTGCTCTGGGAGGGCACATAGGTTTGAGAAAAGGGTCTGTAGCTCCTGTTGGCCTTGGGGTGCCTGGGGGCTTGGCATAGGGGTCATTACATATGGCTGTTGGAGAGCCAATTGGCTCTGAAAGACCTCTGGGAGATTTCCCTGATTCCGAGTTACGGCGTGGAGTTCCCTGCCCAGTAGGTGGTGGTCTGGGTGTGCCTACCATTTTGGTGTAGGGATCCCAGGGTGAGGATGGTCTGGAGCCAGAGGAGCTTGGGGAGAACATCTGAGGGCTCTGTGGCTGAGATCCTGAAGATGGGGGTGGTGGATGAGGGCGCAAAAAGACGTCATCTGGGGAACACGATGTCGGCGTGCCGGGCAGCTGTGACTTTGATGAACTGGGCTGCTTGGGAGACATGTTTCCACTGTTGGAGTGCACAGATACTGGACTATTCAGGTGACCAGAAGAGTCATGCTCAGATTGGCTGATTGATGGAAGTTGTTGCTGCTGCTGCTGAAGTTGTTCATTCTTCACCTGCTCAAGTTTCTGTGTAGCTTCGATCTTAGCTTGCTGCCTACTTTTCTGTCTCATTTGCTTCAACAGTAAGTGAAAAAATATATAATAATTATTAAATAATAAGAAAATGTACCATGTGTGATTTATTTAAATTACATAATCTAGTACAATTGCAATTAAATTCATTGAATAGTAATAAATTAAGCTAACATAAATATAAATTCTTTATTTTAGAATTTAAAACAATTTTTCTGTCTTTTGACAAGCTTAATTAATTCTTGGCAAAAGGGAACACACAGATGTAATTCATTTAAAGTTCTGAGAAGTTATGTCTGAGTTTATGCATGAAGAAAATGTCACATTTCAAACATTTTTCATATTCCTTTCCGCCCTCTCAAGTAAAGAAATATGCTTTAGTAGAGTTTATTTTGAAGGCTGCTCATGCAAACATTAAAAACTGTAGCACAAAATGCAGTTGTGACTAGGGCTGTGACGATAATCGCATTACCGCGGTAATGAGCTGCCGACCGCGGTGTTAAGGTCATAACCGTCATCACCGCAATTTTTTTGCAAGGTATTTGCAGGAGGAAGCTAGAGGTCTGCATTCCCGCAGGACATGACCAAATTTCTTGTGACGCGGGATTAAATTCCCGAATAAAACACGGTAGCAGTCGGTAACTCTTGTGTAATTTGAACGGGAGCGGGCGGTCTAACAATATCCCATTCCCGTCATCCTTTCAGAACAGCATATATGCGCTTTACTCACTCTTATCGACCACCGTACAGCCTGCGCTCAGGACTGTTATGCATGCGCCAGGCAGAGAAACCCACGTCAGGCTAGTCTTCTCAGGGATGTTAAATTGTTTGGTTAAAAAGTGATTTCATTTCGCAATGACTACAAGCCAACGGTTTTGTTCCCAAATTTTTTTTTCTTTCTCTACGACTCTGTCCTACTGTGTTGACAGCAAAATGTTAAAGGGGTCATATGATGTTGCTAAAAAGAACATTATTTTGTGTATTTGGTGTAATTAAATGTGTTTATGCGGTTTAAGGTTAAAAAAACATTATTTTCCACATACTGTACATTAATGTTTCTCCTCTATGCCCCGCCTTTCTGAAACGCGCCGATTTTTACAAAGCTCGTCGGTCTGAAAAGCGAGGTGTGCTATCCAGCTATCCAGTGAGTTGTGATTGGCCGAATACCTCAAGCATGTGATGGAAATGTTACGCCCCTTACCCTCACCTTATTCCGGCCGGAGCGACGAGACAAAAACATTAAAACCCATTATAAAAAAGGCATTTGTTGCATCCAGTTATGCATCCATAATTACGAATTATAATGACTTGTACTGTCTTTTTACGCATTGCACTGCATCGCGCCGTGTAAACATAAAACCATGTCTGCATTTGTGATCGGAGAAATTACAAACTACAAACACTACAAACGCTACTCTACACTGCTCAAAACTCGCGTTTGAATCGTCAGTGGCAAATTCTTTAAATATAAAAACGTACTTACAGTCTGTGAGTCAGAACAGCTGGCATTGTAGTCTACTCTACTAGGATCAGGAAACAGTCCTCCATAAAATGCGCTGGACACATCTGAATATTTGGGTTGAAGTGTTCTGGAACAGTGTTGTAAATACAACTTAACCACTGATTTCTAGTCGTGTCCTCTTTTGGAAGGCCAAACAAAGTAGTTTCGCTTTCACAACGAAACACAGTGTCACACACGGCGGGGCGGGCTAGATTGAGCGGAGACCGGAGGCCTAGAGTGAGCAGCGGCCGGCGGCCTAGAGTGAGCGGGGGCGGGACGGGCTTGCGGCAACCACATGTGGCGACCCTGGGCTGGACTCCACTTCGTCCACGGTGAAAGCCGATCCGGCGATCCACAGTGCAAAGTTGATGTATTTCCTCAGCGACCAGAACGGATCAGCTCCAGGCATGACGAAGCGGATATCATCCTCTTTTGGAAGGCCAAACAAAGTAGTTTCGCTTTCACAACGAAACACACAGCGCCTCCACGACATGTCAGCGGCGGCAACAACAATACTACAGCGAGAATAAAAGTTACGCCTTCTTTCTTTGCATGAACATTTGGGCGGCGTTATGCAAATCTTCCCACATCGTGACGTAGACATGTGGGGGCGTGTTAGAACGAGCCACTTTAGGTAGGCGTGGCTGACTTAACGTTTATAAAGAATATCTCTTTGGATTTGAGACTTTAGTCTTTGCAACTTTACAGATCTTCTTTATGCACCAAGAGCTTGTAACATTCCAAAGAGAAAGGAAAAACTGAAATCACATCATATGACCCCTTTAAACGAATTTTGTATTTTGACAAGACGAATAAAAATAACAAATAAGCTTTTTTTTTTGTACAACTTACATTTTTTATATTTTTTCTCTGCAACACTTTTTCCTATTGTGTTGATAGCAACATGTAAAACTAATTTGATTCTGGACATGACGAATAAAATAAATGCAATTTTTGTGCAGACTACATTTTTATTTGTTATCTCTCTCTCTCTTTCAGTAGTGGAAATTTAAATGTGAGATTCTGGAAACGAGATCTACATTTAGCGCGAACGGTCGGGTCAGGACGAAAATTATTCCAAGCGGACAGCGGGTGAACAAAGAGTGAATATATAGCGGGAGAGGGTGGGTGCGGATACGGAATATAACCTTGTACAGACTACAGCCTGATGTTCCCTTTTTATGTTGCAAAACCCAAATCAGAAAAAAAGCCTCTTTTATGTTGCACTTAAAAAAAAGTTATTATAAATGTAGCCTAATTAATAGTTAAATAATATTATTCAAAGTTTTAACAAGTTGCGTTTGGATGAGTGCGTTTATATCCACGAACTGTAACCCGAAAAACAATGTCTAAAGAAATAGGAATCGAAGTTTAGCACAACTCACCAGAACTAAGCAATGTTGGGGCATGTTGAGCTCGGCTTGTTCTTTCTGCAGCTTTCTCAGGTTGTTATTCTTTTAATAATTTATTGTACAAAGAATGGGTTACAAACAATGACAAAGACTGTTCCATAATTCCTATTAAACTCAAAAGATATCGAAAAAACAACAAAGTTATAGAAATAAATATTATTTTATGTTAATATTGTTAATAAAATTAGCTGTTTTAATAATAAAGAAGACTACTTTATTATTATTCATTACTATGTTCATTTACAAGCTGCATGCATTCTTTATCAAAAGTCCGTGGCGGGGGGGTGGGTGCGATAAACCGCCAAACCGTGTGATTTGTTGCTTCTTCACCACGGTAAGAAAAAATCCCATACCGTCACAGCCCTAGTTGTGACACATTTGTTACACGTTTATTGTTTTTAATGTAACTCTTCTATTATTCTGCAAACTTGTTTGATGTCCACCACCAGACCAAACATGCATTAAAATAATTCTCATTGAAAAATAAAACTCGTGTCTCAGTTTTACAAATCGGACAAGTCAAAGACATAGAAATGTCATTTATATCATTTATTTGACAAAACCAAAACATTTCTGGCTGTCAATAAGTAATTTATCTCTTTTCCATACAAATGTCTATAGAGGACTTACCTGTCTATACTTCCATTCTTGTTCATGCTCTGATTCCTTGTGCTTCAGTGGATCTTTGAACAGTAATTCCGGGTCCAGTGGTGGAATAGCAGGATCAAACACTTCTAAAGGCTGCTCTGGCGGAGGCGGCTGCCGCTTAATGGTCTCGTTGGACATCTGAACTTTGTTAATGCGCAGGGCTGCCCTGTTATCTCTGGCCTTTTGCTGTGAATAGTAGAGTGATTGTGCAGTGTTGATATCAAAGAAAGACCATTGAAATTCAAAGGTTGCATAAATTTGCTAAAATTACATGGTTTTTAGACTAATTGTCTAAAAGCGTTTTTATTTTAAGTGGCACTCTTTCACGTCAAGGTAATGTTCCCTTTAATCATATCTTTTGAAATGTATTTATCTCTTAGACCGTAATCAGCTCCTTGGGTCCAATTTATTCTTTTGACTTTGACCAACACTCAAGGGTCGCTATATCCTGCTGAAATAAATTCTAAAGCCCTATTCGGACGGGACTAGTTTTCTTTGAGTTTTGATTCTTATCACCTGATATCTGTGATTTTCATGTACAAATTCAGACGAGACCAACATCTCCATGTTTATTATAGAGGCGGGAGGGTCTGTTTTGTACATCTGGGCGTCGCAGAGATCACAGGCTCTGTATGCATGCATTGCGTATAGTAATTCGGATTGATTACCATAGTATAACCACAGTTTTACTACAAATGCCATAGTGAAGTTATATGGCTAGTAAAGCAAAACCATGGTTAATGTGTGGTTACTTTAGTTTAACAATTACATTTTTCTTATCTATTTGTAGTAAAACCTGAATAGGGCTTAAGCTGGTGTATTCTGTTTAGTGGTGGCCTGATAGAACGGGTAGACCAGCATAGCCATGTTATTCACCAGGAAAATTTAGCAGATGAAGCTGTTCGACAAGCCAGCACACCAGCATTCCAAACATTACATATGCTGGTGATGATGATAAACTCAGTGTATTGCAGCAGATACTGTGTAACTTACCACATATGGAGCCCGGTCCTGTGAACTTGCTTTTCTCCAGAGTTTTGCAATTTGTTTGACTCGTGTTGACCAGTCTGTAAGGTTATAACATAAAAATAAAAGTATCTATTAGAAGTATAACATTGAGGGATATTAAGAAGAGATCGTGTCCATTAAGGTCAACATGTAAATCTAAATATACCATATTAACTTTCTTAATTGCATTAATATATAAAATGTTAGATTTCATACTAGGGATGTCCCGTGCAGATCTCAAGGATCGGGATTGGGGCCGATCATTAATTTTTTGCGGTCATGCCGGTGACGTGCAGTACGTGTATTATGTCGACACTCGTATGCATGTGTTCAGCCATTATTAAAACCAAAAGAAGAAGAAACCAGTGAGGCCTGTTCTAGCTTGTAACACATGTTTGAGCTTCTGTGTTCAATGCATTTGATGCGCACTTTTGCAACGATCACATATTCATTTATCATTTAGTTTTATCTGCAGTCTATCTAAAACGTCGTTACCATAACGTGTTGCTATGGGTTGCGCCTTGCTTCCGATTTGACTGACAGACTGGCATTCTGACACAGTGAGTTTCATGCTTTCTAACCATATCTCCAATTTTTTATCTTTATGTTGCAATTATTATGCTTATTGTATGCATAAAATACAAGAAGTTTACATCAGAAGTCCCATGTTCTATCAATGTCTTTATACAGTATGTGCAAATATATACATAGAGAGAGTGTATCTGATATATATATATATATATATATTTAACTTTTACTCTCTGCATAACTCTGTATACAATGGATTGGTTTTAATAACTACTAGGAACACACTAGGAAGTATCGGATCAGGACTCAGTATTGGCAGATATTCAATATTCAATGACTCGGATCAGATCGGATCGGGGGCAAAAAACCTGATCGGGACATCCCTATTTCATACTATAGTAAAATGGGTTCCGTCGTGTTGATTGTAACAAAGTACTTTATTGATTTTCAAAGCTTTATATGACAGATCATTTTTAAATCCCTTAGCTGACCTGGATATTCCTCCTTGAGGTTCGGGAAGTTGACATTAGTGTACAGGACCGGTGCGACAGTGGCAAGTTCTCCGAGCGTTTCTTCTTTCTCCCACTTCAGAGTGCTTTTCTGTGCGGTGGACATGGAGTCTCCCTCCACCTCAGAGGCAGCGGCTGGAGCAGAGGCCGAAGCTGAGCCTGTAGCGGACCACGGACCAGCAGTCTCCTGCGCTATCAGATTGAACTTCCTGTCCCTGTGCAGCAGATATAAATGTCATCTAGAAATACTGATTTAATCAAACTGTGCCGCAACATTTACACCTACTGAACAAGAGGAGACTAACATAAATGTAGTCTGTTCATTTATTTTTTAATCAATATTGCAATTTAGATGTGAGTGTGCATATGTATGAAGAAATATCAAGGCTGACCTAAGATTGTCTGAGAAAGGCATGCGCTGCATTGATGGGATATTTCGAGCCATATCAGGCCCTACTCCAGGAGCAATTTGGGACTGTGAAAACTGCTGTTTGGGTTCCATCAAACCATTCGTCACTGGCATTCGTGAAGACATTCCTGTACAAAAACATTCCAATACAACTGAGCAACGGTGCATACAGCAATCACAGTGAATGTAATTCAGTTTGATTCACCTGAGAACGAAAGACCTCATTTTTTTAAAACAAACAAAAATGTGTTTACAGTAATGCACTAAAGGGATGAGTCAAAATGCCACAGACGCCATCGACTGAGCTATTACAAAAACCCAGAACATTCCGGAAAGGTGAAATGTGTGATTTTTGAAGAATGTGCAAATGTACAAATACCATCAACACCGAATTACAATAATAATGTCAACACAGGTTTCTTGAACGTTGCCACTCTCTGTCATTGGCCAAACAGAAAGTCTCAAGCAAAACTCCCAAAATCATGCTGGTTCAACAATATAGACTTCTTTAATGATGTCATGCAGGTAGCTGAGTACACATTTTTCATAATCAATCAATTCAAGACTGAATTAATGTCAGACTATTACAGACTATTTCACTATTTTTATTCTGCCTTGTTTTGCTTTATTTTCAGATGTTTGATTCAGTCGTAGGATTCCTATTACATCACTCTTCACACTGCTTTTATTCTTTTGACAAACTAAAAGACATAGAATGTAATTTGTATATATAACAAATGAAAGATATATTCTGATTGTACTGCATGTTTGCTTGTTTATTTTGCTCAATAGCATGATCTATGTCCACATGTAATACAAACAAGAACTATGCTTCCAACCACAGGTCAATGGCTGTAGTTCCAACCACAACTTTCCGACGCGGTTTGTGAATATTTGTTGGAAATATGGATTCAGGAATCACTGAATCACTGATCTATGCTGGTAACGATGGAGCTTGCAACCACAGTTGGCTAACTATGCTTTTGGGAAACCCACCCTTGGTAGAGACGCTCAGAATTGTTTCGATAGTGCCACACTCTTTTGGAAGTAAACATATGAATGCTACACGTAACAGTTGTGCATTAAAACCGGCATGGGAGTATTTTAACATGGAAAATATGACAGACATCATACAAATGTTACTATCAAAAGACAACTGCTAAATTAGAGTCTTAATCATATCACTGAAACATTCCTTATTTTCCTAAACAAACCTGAGATAGGTTGGGAGGGATGTAAACCAGGGCCTGCGAGACCTTGCAGGGTTTGAGCTCCCTGGATCTGTTGAGGCATCTGAGGAGGTTGGCTGGTGCTGGGGCTCAGGACAGCTGTGAAGAGATCCTCCACATCCTTCCCACCAAGCTCTGCAAGGAATGGGTCAATACTTACAACATATCGAATGAACGAGTTCACTGGCAGTTGGTGCTTTGAGTTTATAACCTACCTGGTATTTTGTAGAGTCTGCCGAGTATTGATTCTGTAAGGTAGAAAGATTCGTTGTTCACATTTAGATGTTTCAAGAACAAGTATTACTATTCAACAATGCATACATTTGTGATATACAGACCATCAGTGACCATCTTGTCCAGTTCAGGGCTGAGAATGCCATCCAGTGGCTCCTCGTGCACCTGACGTGGGTGAGTTCGGCCCAGATGAGTTTGAGATGAAACAGATGCGTCTTCTGTAAAAGGAGCAACATCCAGACCTATACAAACATATACACAAAAACACAAATAATGTCACATCCATCACAACAAACTAAAATTGCAAACCGTGGACCATGTGTCCTGAAATTGGTTTAGTCTTGGGTGCTTTAACTTTAACACTTTCCCTGCCACTGGCAGAATTTTGCCACTGGCAGAATTTTGTGTCTTTCTGTGTTTTCACTATTATACGGTACAAGGCATTATTACACATCTTCTGAGTACTGAATGTTTGGACTAAAATACGGTGAAAAAGCAGAAACAAGCGATTGCATATGTAAGCAGACGCATATGTAAAATAACTAGATCGTAAAGCATTAAACAGCATGTAAATCAAAACTGCCAAACGTTACTGAATGAACTGTCGATCCGGGAACTGGTTTTGGACCGTGCAAGCTTTGGATGTGATGATGGACTCAGTCTACTCCATCTATGTTTTGATCATCATTCTGAATCTGATCCAGATGCAGTCTTTTACAAAAATACGATTTTCCCAGCTTTTTGTTCAAAATGTTTTTTTGTTTTTTTTAAAAAGAAGAAATTTACCAACATTCAAATGTTGATAAAAAGTTTTTTTATTGGTCTTATGAAGTATTCTAATTTGTTGCGATAGTGAATTGGTGGGTTTTTGTTAAAAGTGAGCCAAAATCATCACAATTAAAAGAACCAAAGACTTAAACTACTTCAGTCTGTGTGCACTGAATTTATTTAATACACGAGTTTCACAATTTGAGTTGAATTACTGAAATACATTTTTTTATCTTTTCCACAACATTCTAATTTATTGAGATGCACCTGTATATAGCTAGAATTAAAACATTAAAAAAAGCAGAGGCCCTTTTTTCTTTTGACATACTGCATGCTCATACAACAAAATATTCGGGCGGCCTTGAAAATTTTCTGAAAATGATAAAAAATGCTGACAGTGGCTGGCATTTTTTTTTCAATATGCTGGCAGGGAAAGGGTTAAAAACTGGCATTTTTATTCTTTTATTCACTCTCACTGTGTTTCAGATCTGTATAGCTCTCTTTTGTTTTGTTTCGTTAGTGGACCACAAACAAAGTCAATGGGGTCCCCAATTGGGGACAGACAGTAATTTTACAGACAAAGCAGTTTAAATATTCTTCAGAATATCGTGTTCTTTATAAGCAAGTCATACAGATTTGGAACAACATGAGGGTGAGTATATGATGACACAATTTAAATTTTTGGCCGAACTATCCCTTTAACATTGAACTAAAACTAAAAAGCAAAGACCAGAGCAGGTTGTGGATCTTGTTATATGAGTCATATCCGACATGGACAAAACTGAATAAATAACCTGTGCAGCAAATAATTCAAATAGAAATACTACTATGTGTTCGGAGGGAGGTCAGACTGCCTCGCCTTCCAAGGCTGCTTTTACAGCAGGGATGAGCTCGACATCTTTCACAAATTACTAGGGTTGGTTCCTTTTCATCAAACCAAGGACTCAGTGGATGTCGGTGGAGCAGTGCCCCTATTCTTCACTCATCCATTCAAGTAGAGGCCCTGACTGCCGCTCACGGGAGGACAGTCATTCATCTACGCCTTCGGTTTTCTGAAACGCCTGTCTCTAAAACATCTCAGTTCTGTGCTGGTATAAGAGAAACGTCCTTGACTACATCGGTTATCCCAGCACTGCATTGCTGGATCATTCTCGATATGCTAGGTAATGTAAACTAATTGGACTGCATGATGCATAATGTTTGGATTCAGGTGCAGTGTGCATTGTGGGTGATATGTCAAAAATGGATAAGTAAAACAAACGTTCCCAGAAAAAGCAAATAACTTAAACATGATCATGAGCTCTTACCAAATGATGAAGGAGAGTACTCAACTTGGAAAGGGCAAAAATCAAGACCTACAAAGATCCAAACCAAACACAATGAGGGATCAGCACCATGAAGAGAGAAAGAAAGATTCTACAGATGATTCATACACAATGTAAAATAAAATGAGCCAAGAATGAAAAATATGGAAATGCCCAAGAAAGTAATATAATGAAAAGACAATCAAGACCATCTCTTATAGATAATTAAATATTTAGATATCAAGCTATTTATTCATCTATTTTCAAGAAAAAGCTAATTAATATGTGTAATTATTAGGTGTGGAAATTTGTGTGCATCAACAATGAACTGATTTCAACTGAATAACGACTGTTTACTATTGTCTTTTTAGAGTTGCTTTACAACAGAATTGAATTTTGTTTGTATCAGTGAATCACTATTTTCTTGTTCAATTTAAAGCTGCTTTGAAATAGCGCTGTCAAACGATTAATCGTATCCAAAATAAACGTTTTTTTTTACATAACGTGTGTGTACTGTGCATATTTGTAATGTATATATAAATACACACGCATGCATGAATATATTTAAGAAAAATATTATGTTTACATATTAAATCTATTTATACATATATAATATAAATTATAGGAATATGAATATATACATGTAAATATTTTCAAAATATATACTGCATGTGTGAATATTTATATATACATAATACATATACACAGTACACACAACAAAAACTTTTATTTTGGATTCGATTAATCGTTTAATCGACAGCACTACTTTGAAACAATCTGTATTGTATAAAGCGCTATATAAATAAAGGTGACTTGAACTCAAAAGCACACTACTTTCATGTCTCTCATGTGTCAATATTTCATGTCAATGTATTTATTTAACTGGTAAGTAGCCAAGTATTAAGCGGGATAATGTACAGTAAGACCGTTATTATGGAATCGACAGCACTACTTTGAAACAATCTGTATTGTATAAAGCGCTATATAAATAAAGGTGACTTGAATGACTTGAACTCAAAAGCACACTACTTTCATGTCTCTCATGTGTCAATATTTCATGTCAATGTATTTATTTAACTGGTAAGTAGCCAAGTATTAAGCGGGATAATGTACAGTAAGACCGTTATTATGACAAAATAAACAGAATCCTTGCATACAAATAACATATCCTATATGTCTCAAACTGCAATAAGCTCACAGGAAATATGAGAGAAAACGCAAATTGTGCAATAATGGAATAAAACAATTTTCACACACTTTATGGGCAAACTTCTACATATGAAAAGTTATTTTTGCCGCCGATATGTTTGCATTAACATTTCTACGAATGACATTATTTCATTGATGGGTGATGTTTCACTTGTTTTCGATAATTATTTTTCGCCATAGAAAGAACGCAAATGATTTTTGTTAAACGCTCCATCTGGGTTTGATTGATGAATAAATTATACACAAGTCTTTCTCCATTTACTAAGACATCCGATCGGTTCCAATCAACTCTGAATGTTTTTAGCTTTTCGAATTCACACAGAGAAAATTAAAATGTTATAAATGTCAAATTGACTAAATGTGTTAACGACAGCAAAAATAATTACCCGTGTGGATTTTATTAACTGCGTGTGTTACTTGTTACGTTTGAAAGCCCTATAAAAATGATTACATTTTAAGTTTTATATGAACATTCAATGATAATCTATCATCTAAGCACAAGCTTCAAGTTTTTTTTTTATAAATTACGAGAAACAAATCCAGTCAAGTGATTCGACACTTACAATTGTCAGTGCAGTTAAACGCTACACTACTTTTTGAAATGGGAGGCCTTACTGTAGTTTAACTATGTTTGTACCCCACGAAGTTTATGTACCCCGACAATGATAATAGTAGAACTAGAGAGCTGGAGCTCACGGAAAGGGCTCATCTGAACAGCAAACGTGCTGTTATTTCTCATGTTTAGAGACACTCATAAAGGCCTACCGGACTCCTCAGTTTGCCTGGTATTAGAAAACATTCCCAGCAGCTCTGTGTCTGATTTCAGCTCTTCGGACAGGTCCACTAGAGGCTCCACAGAATTCTCTGTGGATGCGGATAAAGCAGGAATGTGATTATAAGGGCCTGATGATTGTCCTCTAAGAAAGTGTTCTAAATTGTGCAGACCAATTTAAAGACAACATGAAATTGCATTTGCAACCCATTTCACTTTCCATAAGGGGACATTTCTGAGTGATTCTGCAAGACCAGGAATGTGTGTAAAGCAAGTAAATGCAGTCTATTTAAATTTCATGTTGACTTTAAGAGAAATAAATGTATAAATCAGACTGAGTATGAAGGTCATGTGGGAAAAAAGACAAAAAAGAAAGAGACAAAAAAGCTGAGACAGCCCGTGTGTGTTTGTGAGTGTGTGTGTAAGCACCAGTAGCGTGAGAAACGTACGTGCTGCTACTGCTTTCCTGGCCAGCGGTGCCACTGACGCACTGAGTGATGCGTATGACAATGGCTTCATCTGATTGGCCAGGAGTTGTTTCCTGTCTCGCTCATCCTCTAGCAGCCGTGTGGTTTCCTGTCTGCTCTGTTTGCTCTTATCCAGCAGGTCTTTCCCAAAAAAGGCCTCCTGCAAGAGAAGATTGTGGAGTCTGAGTACTTCAGAATTCTGTATAACACGTACAAAGTGATTGATTTGTCCAACTAGAAAAGGTGGATATGGGTTTAGAAAATTATTGGTTTCATAAATCAGGCGTTAATCAAATAATAAGAGTTTTTCAATGGTGGATGGTGAATATTTAGAGAGCAGGGTAGTGCATGGCTAATAAATATAATACAATTTAATGATAGCAAAACATGCAGAACGTAAATAAAGGTTTATATTACAGAATATTTGAAAAAGAAACATGAACCACTTCTGTTAATCAACCAAATGTTACAAGATATACATTTCAGATTAATGCTATTTGTTTAAACTTTATATTCATGAAAGAATACTTAAAAGGTTTCTACAAAAATATCAAGTAGTGCAATGGTTTTCAATATTGATTATTATAATAAATGTTTCTTGAGTATCAAATCAGCATATCAGAGTGATTTCTGAAGGATCGTGTGACACTGAAGACTGGAGTAATGATGCTGAAAATTCAGCTTTGCATCACAGGGATAAATTATATTTTAAAATATATAGCAACAGTAAACAATTATTTTGAATTGTAATAATAGTTCACAATATTTCTGCTTTTATAGATTTTTTTTTAATCAAATAAATGCTTGAGCGGAAGAGACATTAAAACAAAAAATCAAACCCACCTCAAATTTTTGAACAATAGCACATATTAAACTAAATAACCAAATTTGTGTGTATATATATTATTAAATATAGAATTATTATAACACTACATTATATATTACATCTTAAATTATTAATATGAATATTATTCATCTTAATCACACATTGAATCAATTTCATATTTGCATGATTTTCTTTTTCAAATTCCAGGGCTGAAAAACATAATATCGTTGATGCAAAACACACACACGGCGCTCCTACCAAAGACAACAGAAGTGCACTCTAGATGGTCATGCCATTCAAAGCAAAACTTCTGAAGAGGCATACTCAAATCACATTGTGCTGTTATCATTCGTAATGAAGGTATTGTTGACAGAGTATGTTTTTCGGCTACAGTGGAGATCTTCCAGAAGGCTGTGTTTGTCTGAGCAGACAGTCTGACAGCATGGCTCTGGCTCTCAGATGGCGTTACTCTGCACTGACTGTCACGTTGTGGGAGCCCCTCGAATGAGCTCATGTTTCATCCCGGCGCGGACCCGCAGGATGCACGATCTACAGAGACGCAATCACATGAACAAGCACGACAACAACATGCGTGCTCTAGCACACCGCCTGTTCTGTCACTTCAGTTCAGCTCACCTGACAGCTTCCAGCTCTGAGAAGCTGCCTGGCTGAGACACTAAAAGCCTCCATTTTCAATAATTGATTTGAAGTGGCTCTTCTGAGAAGCACCTTTAGGGTGGATTCTCTCAGGAGCTAGCGTGAACAGCTAGCATTAGCTCAACCAACCAACTACGTCATCATTCCCATCCCGTCCGATCTCGCTTTCTAGGGCACGGTGATATGATGGTATAATACAACGTGTGGCGGTATAGATTTTTCTGGATCTTTTATACAGTGGTAAATACATTGTGTGCAGAACTGCTTTATGCTATTTACATGAGAGGGTGATACAGAAACATACAGCGGGAAGTGGGTAGGGATGGGTGTATCGATCTAAGGATCGATATATCGATACTAACGCGAGTATCGAAAGTATCGATACTCAAACTAAAAATATCGATACTAAGGTGTGTTTTATTTACCAGTGATTTTGTTTATTTAAAATAATAATAATAACGCGTACAAATGCACTGAATTGGACGAATAACCTTTGTTCGCAAGTAATTGTGTAGGATATAACTATTTTCCTGCTCATCTGAACACACGCAAATGTTGCAAGACAGAACCAATCCATCACAGAGAGCGTTCACTCAATTCTAAAAGTGCATTCAAACAGGGCTGCTTTTCCCAAAAGTATCATAAGAAAGCATTAAAGCTTTTGGGAACGGCAGCCCTGAACTATCAGAGGACAGAAAAAAACATATGTTTGAGTTATTTCACAATAAACCAATTGAAATTGTAGCCTACATAGTTTGTACAATTTCATTTATGTAAATTGAACGTTGAACGATAATATAGATCATGTTCTATTCTGTAATGTTAATAGAAATCATACACTGTCAGAACAAAAAGGTTGCATTTTATGGATGCAACAGCCTATCACTGGCAGTCCCTTATGATAATGAACCATGGTTTTACTAAAATGACCATAGTTCA